TAGTATTGTTTTCTGATGCTGATCTCAGTAAGATAATGTTCGACAACCGTTAACACTGTAATGTGGATAAGTGCGGAATGCTCTGGCTTCCTGAGTTAAACATTCACTTGCAGCTGAATGATGACTGCAAGGGGAACCACAGGAATGCTGTCCCCAAGAGCACTGTCTCAGGAAGGAGACACTGGTGGTTGACACAGGCAGCCTGTGGACTCTACACTCTACAGCTCTGGCCCAGCACCAGCGAAATCACGGCTAGAGACCACAGTGCTCTTGACTTCCATCTCATTCACCTTCCTTTCACCAGATGCAATTCTTGAAGCAGAAAAATAAAACCTGTTTGTAATAATTATCAGCTTCATTTTCTTAGGAGTCATGTGTCTCTTGCCAGAACTCTTCTAGATCAAAGGTACTGTTTTTTTCCTCTCTGTAAACCAGTATTATGTGCTCCACTAAATATTTTCTTTTAGTATAAAAGTAACCATGACATCAAGAAACTTTAGAATGTGGAAAAAATATAGAAAAAAGTTACCTCTAAATTTACCATGCTCACAAAATTAGTATATTTGTGTATGTCCTTTATCCCCTGTGCATATGTATTATGCACACACACACACACCATGGTAGTTTGTGTTCTGGTTTTTTCATTTAACATTGTGCTGTGAATATATCATAAGGACTTCATAACCATCTGTTTAAATAGTTAGATACAAGAAATTGATAATTTCAAAGGAACAATTTTCTTTTACAAATTCCAAGTCTGGAATTCTCAGGGAAAAGATGTGAACTCATGGTATTTGACACATATTATGAAACTGCTTTGCCAATATTGTTGTACCAATTTATTGAGCCACCAACTGATGATAATTTATAATTTAAGTCATGTTATTGATATAGTAGAGAAAAATAAAAATCTCATCAATCTTTCAGTTTACTTTTAAGAACATTGCTAGGGACAAAGGATTTTAATCATGACTGGCTACTAGTTACATTTCTGCTCTTTAAGAATCATCACAACTATTGAAGGGAAAAGATTATCAGTTACTAATCAGGTGTCTTCCTTGTGGAGGCAGTGTACAAAGAGCAAGGGCTTTGGGATTCAAATCCACCTTACTTAAAGAGCCGGGACATACATGCAACAACCTCATGAGGTGTTAGTTTCCATTCATTTCCAAACAAAGACCATTACATTTGTAAGACTAAACGGAGGATCTGATCCAACAGGACAGTTTTTGATCATTTAGCTAATAGTCTTTAAGAGTCACTCCCTTAGAGCTATCCTCTGCAAAGGCTCCACCCACCTTGGAAATTAGAAGAGCTCAATTTTTTCCCCGGTACCACTTTTCTTTGATTTTTTTTTAATAGTCAGGTGCCTACCCTTATTAAGCCCTTACTTAACACAAGCTGTCACATATCAACTAACCTTCATGACAACCCTAGTGGGGGATGGTACTAATTATTAATACCTTACAAAAGAAAACATCTGATGCTTAACCCTAGCAGTCTATATTGTTAAGCAACCGGTAGGCTGTAATTCCTTTGCTAGCTATTCCAGTCTCCTCTAGCAAGTCAAGGTAAAAGTCAGCAAAAAGTAAGTAAATCAGTGCTGTTCAGCTGAGGAGAAAGATACTCTGCCAATCACTCTCAATTGAATGATTGTCACTATGGCCCAGATTAAATGGGGGAAAGGATACAAAGCTAGAACACCATTTCAGGAACGATGTACTTGAAACCTCCTTAGATGCTTCAGATTAGAAGTATCTAAGGAGGTTTGGCTTAATTTCTCACATTTGGGCAAGCCAGGCAAGCTTAGGCCATCACTTCCTTATCAAGTTTTCATAGTGACAGAAGTGTATCACTAACCTGTTTCTTCAAGTGCCTGAGCTGATTAAAACAAGCCATGTTGTTGCAAAGGTGGAAATTTACTGTTAACCTTTCCTCATCTTTCCAACCATAAGGAGGGGGCAGGGGGCACACACCTGATAATGTGAACCATTTGCTAGGGAAGGTGTAAAACCCAGACACTGAGGTTTTTCATATAAACCAATACCCAATTTATCAATCTGAAATTCAATATAATAAAACATTGGCTCATATATTAAATGGCTTTTAACAAATTTTTTCCTTTTTAAAATACAGGATTAATATTGACATATATAACCTATGGCACAAACTACTAAATTCACACAACCCAAGAATAAGAGGATTATTCATCAATGTGATTAAATTGGGGATAAAAATACCTCCCTGAATTTTCCATAATTTGTTTTAGCATCATCCTTTCCTGAATATTTTTTGAAGAAATTATTTATTTTGAATAGTTTAAGATAATTTCAGTTCTCAATAGAGGACTATAATGTGATAATATGGTCTTGTTATCATGATCATCTACAACTGTCCAACCTATCAGTTTCTTAAATAATTTTCCAGATTTGAATTGGGAGGCTATTTCAGAGTATACTCTTGAACAGTCCCAAGCCTCTTTGGGCACAACTACTTAGAGAGCTGTATGTTCTCTGTGACTTAGAGTGTGGAAAAACGCAAAGATAGGCAGGTACTCTATTTTCCCAAAGCAGCCACTGAAGCTGTGTCAACTGAAATAAAATTAAGAAGTCTAAGTCAATCCTCATATGGTGCAAGGGACAACAGACTGCCCAGTCAGAGAGCCCAGATGCATCCAGTGTTGAACACAACACTGCAACACAGAGAGGATTAGTTGATTGTTAACAAGGAATAGATAGCAGAGTAGGCCTATATCGGGTTTTAGTGTTGGCTCTGTTACCAAACTTGATCTTGAATAAATCCCTTAAGCTTGTATCTTCAGTCGGAAAAAGTCAGAGTTGGACTGGGTAATAAAAGGTTTGTTTAGTCCAGCTTTGAGCCAGTTTTTAAACTTTGCTTCAGAATACAGCAACTTCAGAACACTTCCTTCTAATAAATGGTCAGTCTGCACCAAAACCCCCTCACTTCACTAACAAGATTCAACTAATGGAAAAAGACTAAGTAGGGTCTTATGTGTGGATGTAGCTTAACAACTGGGATGGGGAAAAATCATCTTATACACCAGGTTTACTCCCCCCACCTCACATTTTTTACTTGTATTACTTTACTCAAGGGTGATCCTCATTTTTATAGAAGGGGAAACAGGTACACAGAGGTTAAGTCCATGGAAAATGGCAGAGTCCAAACTGGAGCCAAGCCTGCCATCAATCACAGTAGGCTTCTCCACTAAAATTCCTCCTCCATCTGTCACGATACTTGGGCACAGAAGGGGAGCTTTCATTGTATCCTTAAGATTAACTGCTCTGGTTTCAAAATGCTTTCAGAGAGGTTGTTTCAAAAAATTCCCCTCCTGGTTGCCTTAAAGAAGAGGTAAGGAGAAAAATCAAAATAAGCCATATACACAAATCCCAACACACATAAGCTGAATAATTTACATTAGGAAGGGCCAAATTGAATCTTGATAATAAAAATGAAGACACAAAATATTTTCCTCAAGAAAATAAGCACATAGAAGAAGAAACATTTCTTAAAAAAAAAAAAGTTTATTTTAAAAAGCCAGCCTCTTAAGGTTTTATATCTATACTTTCACACTGTCAATTACAATATTTTAAAATGCATTGAATATAATTTATTGAATGTCTATCATTATCCTCCTGCCACCATTTAAAAGATATTAGGTGAAAAAATATTTACAGTTTTCATTCTGGTCCATCCTCCTTCCTATCCTTATACTAAACCCATTTCTCTACTTTTCAGACAAGTGGAAAGGGTCACAAAGGTTTAGGTTTGTGTAAAGAGTAAGAACGTGTCCAATAATTTTCTAAGCAAAACACAATTTTCTTTAAGGCCTTATAAGAAAAAGAAAAGGAGTTACTTATTGAAGCAAACATAGCAACTTCTCTCCCAATCTTATCCTTATTGGTTTGTGTGGGCCAAATCTCTATGGGTCTCTTTAATTAGCAAACATTAAAAAAAAAAAACCCAAAAAACTGAAGACACAAAGACTATCTCACACACAGTGCTAAGCTAGATGTGGATATAAATGGAACCACTATGAATCAAAGGGAGAAAATTCCAGGAAAAACAACAAAAGATTCCAAGTCTCACAGTTTAACTGAAGTTTTGGAAAAACCTAAGCTGAATTCAGCTGCTGTTTGAAATGTCTGTCTATGTTTAATTTACTGAGGAGGCACAAATATACAGTTTTGTGTATTTTAATACTATTTTTTCCAGTGTGGGGGGGCGGGAATACTATGTGATCTCAAAAGGGGCGGTGATCTATGACCACTCAACATTTATCTTTGGAAAGGGGAGCAAAAATAGTAATTTAATGAAGTCAACTCTCAAGCACTTGGCTTCTAATAAGCAAACCAAGAAAAGATACTGGAGGAGGTGTACTGGTGAGTACAGTGCAGCTAGAACAGCCAAGATGTTTGCAAAGTTTTATGCCTTAAATTTCCTAAATATATATCTAGCAGGCACATATGCCAAGCAACTATTGATGCTAGGAAAATATTTTAGTCAGGATTTTATAAAAACCCCAACTTTCAATCTTCTAGTGACAATGTCTGACACTATTATTACAAATAACAATGAAGCAAGATTAATTTTAAATTTTAGATTTGCCTCAAACTAGTTATTTTTCCTTGTAACAGAACACTTAAAATGGATGAATTAAGCAGAATGGTTTTAAAAGTTAAGGCTCCCTAAAGACTAAAACTTAAGGCACATATTATTATCACACTATCACAGCACATTATCATGACACTGTTAAAAGCAAAGATTTAAACAAACAAAAACACAAACCGACTTCCTTCTCTCATTCTTTTTCAACCACTTCCTTCCCAAAGGCTATGACATTTTTAGCCCAGGCTACTGGTAAGGAGTGAAACAAAAATTCCATCAATGAACCCCTGGTATGATTCCCACAGAAATGTCCAGTATTTGCATTGAGCACCACTGGTAGATCACAGGCCAATAGAACATTTGGGGTCATGAGCTGCTCCATTTACCCATCAGCCCCACAGGTTCAAACTGGACTCTCCTCCTCCTTGGGGCCTCCTTCTATGCCTTTAGGATCCAGAGATTCTGCTGCGTCGGTAACTTCTTTTGGCTTCTCAGCAACATCTATACTGGTCTCCTCCTCTTTACTTTCCTTTTTCTGCTGCTGCTCAGCTTTCTGTTCTTTTGCAAGAAGTCGGTAATTGATGCCCATGCCGATGAAAAGATAGATGCCTGCGACAATAAGGATTATACCACATGCCCAGTATGTGTATTTGTAGTCTCCATATATGTCATTGAGACGACCTAAAGATGTCAAAAAGAAAAAAAAAAAAATTATGTGGGTAGAGTTATGCCCTTTCCCAAATAAAGCTTAAGAATCCATTCAAAGAACCCATAAATGACTAATTAGTCTAAAAAGAAACTGCTCATAATTATCTGATCTTTTACTTATGTCACACTGATTTTGGATGGCCCTGCGCAGTCTGTTAACTTTAGGAACTTGAAAATAATTAAATCTTGGCAAATTTGAATTGGGAAAGTCCTAGAGACCACCTAGAGTCAATCCTCTCCATATTCAATGGAAAAATTTGTTGCTCAAAAGAGGTTTAGTAGTCTTGCCCAAGGCCATAGAGCTAATTCCAGTCTCCCAGGCCAATGCACTTTCTCTGACATCAGCATTTCCCAAAGGGCGTTCCTGTGAACACTCATCCTCTGCTAAAACATTAACTAACAGCAATACCTTTCCACCATTCTAAGTGCTTAATCCTCACAACAGGAAGGTTCTATCATCATCCCCATTGTATAACAGAAAAACTGAAGTACAGAAAACTTAAGTAACTCATCCAAGGTCATAAAGCTTGTAAATGAAACAGGTTGGCTTTCAACCCAGCAAGTCTGACTCTGAGGCCTGCACCATAACTTCTGTGCTACAGGGTTACTCCCTAGTGTTTGCAAAGTCAAGTAAATTTGGAAATGACACATAGTCTCTTCTATTAAAGGCTTTATTAGACCTGATAGTAAAGAAACTTATTTACTTTGGCGTTTCCAAACTTTTCTCGGCCATGAATTCCTTGTTATAGTAAAATTTATTAGCATCTCAAAATAGTGTTTATTAAACTATGGAAAACCCTACACATATAAAGGACATAAAAACCAATTCAAATATAATTCCATACGGTTTTCCAACATAGGGCATCACACACTCAGCAATACTTATTGATTCTCTAAATATACACACGGCCCTGGGTCTGCTAGGCCCTGAGTTAAGGGTGAGCAAAGGAGGTAACATCCACAGCTCAGTGGAGAAGAGAAGTGTTAATCCAATAACTACACAGACTGTGACAAGTGCTACAAGGAGGGTTTGAAGGCAGAAAATAGGGGTTTTAGACCAGCAATTAGGGTCAGGAAGCCTTTTCTTAAAGTGTAACTTTAGCCAAGACTTATAGGATAGGAATTACCCAGGAGAAGGGAGATGGGAAAAGGCTCAGGGCAGAGAACAGCCAGTGCAAAGGCAGGTGATAGGAGGAAGCACAGGGTGTGAGAGGAGAAGCAGAGAGAGCAAACTGAGTGGTGGGAAATGAGGCTGGAGACACAGGTGGGCCAGGCCACGCAGGACCTGGTAGGCCACAGCAGGGAATCTGATCTTCACCCTAAGAACGTGGGAAGCAACTGGAGTGTTCTAAGAGATGAAGAACAGCTAGAGTGGATATGGGTAAAGTTAGAAGGCTACTGATAGAAGATAGGAGATTTGGATAAGAGTGGTAGTTGTGATGGAGAGCAAATGGGCAGATTAGAAAGAGATTTAGGAAGCAAAAACGGACAGGATTTGGAATCTCCTTGGGTATATATAGGGAGGAGAGAGGGTGGACAGGTCAGTTAGTGGATCTTCTGTTATGTATCCTTCCTTACTTTATAGTGCATAATCTCAAAAGCCTGACTCACATCCAGAAGTCCAAATTATAGTTGCATTCTGTATTAGTAATAATTTTAAAATGTAAACCATTTAGCATTCTTAAGAGAATAATACATCAGGTTTTATTGTCACTTAACTAGCTGTGTGATCTTGGGCAAGTTATTTCACTTTTAGAAGCCTCTATTTCTTTATTTATAAAGCAGGAACAATAATAGTCCGACATCACACACTTGTAATATATGACAAAATACAGAAAAAGATTAGGACAGTCCCTAGTATACTGTGAGCCCTCACCTGGTACCTATTGTTATTATTTTAAATATTACTGCTGAGATAAACTCCACAATTAAAAAGAAATCACCAACAGTATTTTAAAGGTGGTTATACATTTTTCTACAATAAACAGGTTAGGATTTTTATCAGGAAAAATTATTATACATACTTAAGTGTGTAATAGTTTTTTATCCCTCTTTCAGCTTGATGATTCACTTTAATTCAGTTCTATTAAGTATCTGAGCAATTATGCTGTACCAAGCATTGTGCCAGCACTGAGGGTACAGAAGCGAAGAAAGACTGTCGAGCAGCTCACTGATTTCTGTTTTCTATCACCTTCCTAATCTTCTGTTTTATGTTAATAGAACCATAGAAATAGGGAGACATACTATACCTAAAAGTGGTGGCCCCAGCAGGACAGGACAGCATTCCACAATGGTCACCAATCCCACAGCACTGGAGAACCTCTGGGGTCCAACAAGGTCCATCAGCGTTTCAAACAATACTGAGCTGAGCCACCCAAATGCAAATCCAAAGAATCCCGCATAGACACAGAATCCTATATAGCTAGAGGACAAAGGTGCTGCCAGATGACAAACTCCATTTGCAATAATAGAAGCAGCAAAAAAATACTGAACTCGAGGTCTTATCCACTTTGTGTTGGCTACAAGTCCCATAGAAGGTCTGGCTACCATGTCAACAAAAGCCAGAATGGAAAGAAGGAAGGCAGACTTCTCACTAGAGTAATGCTGACTCTTGCCATAATTACTAAGAAAGACCAAAGGTGTAAATAGTCCAAAAAACATGAGCACATTTCCAGACAGGTAGAGCAAAAAGCCTCTGTGCTTGAACAGGGATAAGTCCAGGAATTTATTAAGTGTTTGGAAGATTGATCTTTTCTCTTCTTTCGGATTTCCTCCAATGAGATCTGTATTTGCATCACTTGTCCCCTTTTTTGCGTCGGATTTTCCAGCTTCCTGAAGGGATTCTTTAGACTTATATTTCCCTTCATTGGTTGGCTTGGGCCCTATTGGTCTCATCAGAGCTCCAGCCACACAGCAGTTTAATAGTAAGCCCCCAAGAATTAGGAAGCTTCCTCTCCAGCCATAGATACCAAAGAAAGCCTGATTGAGGGGGGCCAGGGTAGAGAGGAACACAGGGCTGCCTGCCATGGCCAGTCCATTTGCCAACGGTCGCCTCTTGTAGAAATACTTGCCAATCATGGTTAAAGCTGGATTCAAGTTGAAGGCAAGCCCAAGACCTGGGGAGAGGGGGTGAAAAAAGAATCACATACTCCAATAAATGTCAGAAACATATTTGGCACTACTTAACCAAAGAAATAAAGAGGTATATAATTCAAAAAGATATAAATAAATGGAAACATATTCTGTGCTCAGGGATTAGAAGAATTAACATTGTCAAAATGTCCTTATTACCTAAAGCAACCTACATGTTCAGTGCAATCCCTACCAAAATTCCAAGGACATTTTTCACAGAAATAGAACAAAAAATTCTAAAATTTACATGGAACTACAAAAGACCCAATGTGCATAACAGCATTATTTACTGTTGCCAAGATATGGAAGCAAACTAAGTGTCCACCAACAGAAGAATGAATGAAGAAGATGTGGATATATATACACTGAATGTTACCAATTATATGTGGAATCTAAAAACTAAAAACAAACTAGGAAATGTAATAGCAAAGAAACAGACTCATAGAGAACAAATTGGTGGTTAACAGTGGAGAGAGGGAAGGGGTGAGGAGTAAGATTGTGGTAGGGAATTAGGAGGTACAAAGTATTATATATAAAATAAGCTACAAGGATCTACTGTACCACACAGAATATAGCCAATATTTTATAATAACTATAAATGGAATATAACGTTTAAAAATTGTGAATCACTGTGCTATACGCCTGAAACTTAATACTGTAAACCAACTATACCTCAATAAACAATAAAATGAAAAATGAACTTAAAAAAAAGATATAAGTAATGGAAAGTACGACATAATATTGTATAGCGTTTTAAAGCGTGAGCTCTAAAGCCAGGCTATGTGGACTAGCCAGAGTAATTCGGCAAGAAAAAGAAAGAAAAGGCATCCAAATTGGAAAGGAAGTAAAACTGTCACTGTTTGCAGACTGTCATGATTTTATGTATAGAAAACCCTGAAGACTCCACCAAGAAATTATTTGAAATAATAAACAAATACAATAAAACTGCAGCATACAAAAGCAGTATAAGTCAAAATCTGTTGCATTTCTATATGCTAACAATGAGCTATCAGAAATTAACAATCCCATTTATAATCCTAAGAAAAAGAATAAAATATCTAGGAATAAATTTAACCAAGGAGGTTAAAGACTTGCACCCTGAAAACTATAAAACACTGTTTAAAGAAACTGAAGACACAAATCAATGGAAAGATATCTCGTGCTCATGGATTGGAAGAATCAACATTGTCAAAATGTCCTTATTACCTAAAGCAATCTACAGGTTCAACGCAATCCCTATCAAAATCCCAAGGACATTATTCACAGAAATAGAACAAAAAATTCTAAAATTTATATGGAACCACAAAAGACCCTGAATAGCCAAAGCAATCCTGAGAAAAACAAAAAAGCTGGTGGTAGCACACTCCCTGCTTTCAAACTATACTACAAAGCCATAATAATCAAAACAGCATTGTAGTGGCAGAGAAATAGATACATAGATCTATGGAACAGAATTGAGAGCCCAGAAATAAACCCATGCATACATGGACAATTAAGTTACAGCAGAGAAACAAAGAACATATAGTAAGAAAGGATAGTCTCCTCAGTAAATGGTGTTGGGAAAACCAGACAGCCAATGCCAAAAAAACCCAAAAAAACAAAAAACCTAGACCACTATCTCACACCAAACACAAAAATTTATTCAAAATGGATTAAAGACTTGAATATAAGATCTGAAACCATAAAATTCCTAGAAGAAAGTGCAGGCAGTATGGTCTTAGCAATATATTTCTAGATATGTCTCCTCCTCAGGCAAAGAAAACCAAAGCAAAAATAAACAAATGGGATTACATCAAATTGCTTCTGCATAGCAAAGGAAGTGGATCAATAAAATGAAAAGAGAACCTACTGAATGGGAGAAGTTATTTGCAAATGCTGTATCTGATAAGGGGCAATGTCCAAAATATATAAAGAACTCATACAATTCAACAACAACAAAAATCCCTAATTGTAAAATGGGCAGAGTTGGGACTTCCCTGTCAGTCCAGTGGTTAAGACTCAAAGCTTCCACTGCAGGAGGCATGGGTTTGATCCCTGGTTAGGGATCTAAGATCCGCATGCTGTGAGTAGTAGCCAAAACAAAAAAAAAAAGGCAGAGCAGTTGAACAGACATTTTTCCAAAGAAGACATACAGATGGCCAACAGGCACATGAAAAGATATTCAACATCACTAATTATTAGGGAAATGAAAATCAAAATCACAATGAGATCACCTCATACCTGTCAGAATGGCTATTACCAAAACCAAGAAATGACAACTGTTGGTGAGGATGTGACTGTAGAACACAGTATGGAGATTCCTAAAAAAATTAAGACTTGAACTACCATATGATCCAGGTATCCCGCTTCTGTGTATTTATCCAAAGAATACAAAAGAACACTAATTTGAAAAGGTAACGGCACCCACCCATGTTCATCACAGCATTATTTACAACAGCCAAGATATGGAAACAACCTAAGTGCCCATCAACGATCGAATGGATAAAGAACGTTGATGTGTATGTATATATATATATATATATACACACACACACACACATACCCCCCTCACACACACACACATAATGAAATACTACTCAGCCATAAAAGATGAAATGTTGCTATTTCTGACAATGTGGATGGAGCTTAAGGGCATTATGCCAAGTAAAATAAGTCAGATGGAGAAAGACAAATACCATAATGATTTCACTCATATGTGGAATACAAAACCAACAAACAAAAACAAAATAAATGAACAAACCAAACCAAACAATTATGTAGATATAGAGAACAGAGTAGTGGTCACCAGAGAAAAAGGGGCAGAGGGCAAAATGAGTAAGGGGATCAACTGTGTGGTGAAAAAATAAATAAAACCAGACTATGTAGGTTCAAATCTCATCATCATCACTTATTGGCTGTGTAATGTCAAACACGTTGCCCTCCTATGACTGTTTCGTGGTATGTAAAACAGGCGCACAGCACTGCTATGACTAAAAGAACTTAGTGCCTGGCATGTAGTAAGCACTCAATAAATGTTAGTAGTTATTTTTATAATTATTTATATTATTTGAAGGTGATTAACTGTCAAATCTGGCAAGTCACGTGAAGGATCATTATAAGCAAAGAATGTAATTAAGGAGACGGTTATCAAATAGAGTTTTAAAATAGAATATGCAATACAAAATTATTCCTTTTACAACAGCACCAAAAACTTTAAAGTATAAATTGTATAACTTTCCTGAAGGGCCAGAGAATTAAAACCAACACACAAAGTTTTTGTATAATTAAACACAACATTGCCAAGATGTCAATACTCCCCAAATGGAAGTGCTAACTTGACGTGATTCCGATGACAATATCAGTGCATTTCATTTTGGAGATGAAGTAAAATGATTCTAAAACATACTAGAGAACACAAGGGAGTCAACCAGAAAATTTTGGGTGATGCAGGATGGGACTAAACAGAACAGGTATTTAAAATGGACTTTAAAATGCTACAATCAATAGAATAGTGCGACTCTGCCTCAGGAATAGGTAAACACTGACGAAGAAAGTGGACAGAAAGTCCAGGAATATACCTAAAATATATATAAACATTTAATGTACAATAAAAGTAATATTTTAAATTACTGCAACAAGAATTACTCAATAAATGGTGCTAGTATAAGTAAATATTCAAATAACTTGAAGATGCTCTTCCTTGGCCCCTGCTTGCTCCCTACCATTTATGTCTAAGCTACTCAGAGACTTAAACCAGTAAACCAGACTAGGTCACACCCTTATTGCAAACCTGCTATTGGCTTTCTGTCCATAACCTTTACCCTGACCTTACCTCCCAGATCTCATACCAGACCATTCTCACCTGTGCTAACAAGCATGCTGCTGATTTAGGGCCTATGTTCCCCTAGATTTTCACAAAACTAGTTCCCTGCTGTTACTCTATTAAGGTCATCTCTTCAGCAAGGTCTTTGTATAGAATTTATCACTCCCTGATTTTTCTTATTTATTTCTGAGTAGCAGTGTCTGCCTCCTCCCATGAAACAGCACGACTTTGCTGGACTTGTTGCCCTATGCCCACAGCATGTAGACAGTGCCTGACATACATATGGTTGTTGTTCATGATATGCTCTTAAGTGACAAAAACAAAATACTTTATGTAACCGTATCCCTTTTTGTTCTGAAAAAAGTTATGTTTGTGTATAGAAAAAAGTTGGGAAGGATATATATACATAAAAATGTTAGTAGTCAAAGTCTCTGGACTGTGAAGTTATACATAATCTTTATCATACTCATCAGCAGTTCATTATCTTAATTTGGCTATTAAAATAAGGGGGAAAGGACTTCCCTGGTGGCACAGGGGTTAAGAATCCACCTGCCAACAGAGGGGACGTGGGTTCGAGCCCTTCCTGGTCTGGGAAGATCCCACATGCCACGGAGCAACTAAGCCCGTGCACCACAACTACTGAGCCTGCGCTCTAGAGCCCACGAGCCACAACTACTGAAGCCCATGCACCTAGAGCCCGTGCTCTGCAACGAGAAGCCACCACAATGAGAAACCCGTGCTCCGCAATGAAGAGTAGCCCGTGCTCTGCAACAAGAGAAGCCACCACAATGAGAAGCCCGCGCACAAAGCCCGCAACAAAGACTAGCCGCCGCTCGCCACAACTACAGAAAGGCTGCGCGCAGCAATAAAGACCTAACACAGCCATAAACAAACAAACAAACAAACAAATTTTTTTTTTAAAAAGAGAGCGAGACAGAGATAGTAACCAATGACCGCCCTTGCAACGACTGCCGGACACATTTTATCTACAAATCACTGACTATTCTTAGGACAAGGGATACAATCATTTCTTTCAATTCATTTATTCAACAATGTACACCTACTGTATGACAGTAATTTCTTTTTAAAACTTGATTTTCTATTGCTCTTAAATTAACAGGTTGTCAAAATGATAATGTCTATAAGGAGGGACTTTCACTCAAAAGATCTGAAAGACCAATGCAGGTGAATACCAAATAGCCAGCAATATATTAATGCTTGAAAATGAACCAACTCACCTCCAATGACTCCGACACACAAGTAAAGTTCCTGCACAGTGTTACAGAAGGAAGCTGCGATCAAGCCACAGCCTGACAAGCAGCCGCCAACAATCATGATTGGACGACTGCCATATTTATTCACCAGGATACTGCTGATAGGACCTAAGAGATAATCAAAAATTTAGTGGTACACAAGGCATTGATGGCACTAAACGACAAGTCCTTCCAAATAAGCAGATACAACAAAAGGCAATGGTAAGAGTATTGTTATCTATAATTATTTCATAATCATAGGTATGTGGGCTGGAAAATAAAGATGCTAGAAGAATCATTGTGTATCTTCTCTATCTTGAAATCTTGGATGGAATTTTACTAAAATATAAGACTCTAGTCTTTCCTTAATCTTTCTCTTATAAGGCATAATAGGCTGAAAGCCTTGGTAACAGACGTTCATAGGCTTCTTGATTTATCTAGGATATGATCGACACATATTTAGTAAGTTTGCTCTATGTTAATTTTTGGGATAGGCAGACTGATGAGAGATTTTAAGAGTACTCTTTACACATCATCATAAGTGTAGTTTGTGTCATATTTTTTAAAAAGAAGAAAAAACAAAGACAAAATACATAATTTTTTCCCCAAGTTCAGTAGTTTTGCAATTAGGACATCTAAATTTAAAACAAAACAAAACGAAACTGTTCCCATTTACACCTAGATATCTCAGGTATTGAACTGAATGGAATGTCTTCTAGGGTTAACTGGGTTCTGTGCCTATACTGCTGTTTTGTGACAGCAAAACTATGAAAAAATGTTTGTAGAAGATTAAGTCAGATAATGGTCAAAACATTCTCAGGTTTAACAACATAAACCAGATTAAATCTCCTCAGCTAAAGAGATGCATACCAAAAAATCAGTTTTTCTTTAACGTGAGAGAAGAAACCAAAGTATAGTGTTATAAGGATCACAAATAAAAAGATTTTATGCATTTCATGTATCAGTTTTCAAATACAAAAAAGTCAAATGGCCTCTCCTTACTTGCTACAAATAGGTATAAACTGTAATTCCCCTTTTCCAAAATTTTAAGTCTTAATTATGAGTCTTATCTAAAGCAAACAATGTTTTAAGAGCTGTAACACAACTCTTAGACTAACAATATTTGCTGATTACAAATGAATGACATTTGACATTCTCTGAATTTCACTTATTTATAATACTTATGTCCCTACTTCATGGCTCTGGACTTTGGAGATGACAACTTTGTTTACATGATACCATATCATGTCCGCCTTGTTAAGGCAGATGACTGCAAATAAGAAAGGGTCACTGCAATGCATCAGTAGGGAAGGGGACACAAGAAGAACTAATATTTGAACTTGCAGCTAATGAGAACCAAGTTTTGAATCCAGCCCATTTTCTCCCCATTACATATGTATTTTTGGAACTACAGTTCCAAAGTTATAAAGCAGAAGACATACAAATCAAGTTTCTCTTCTATTAGCACAGTAAACTCTGACTTTATTCTGTTTATTCTATACTTAGCTCCCTAGAAGATAGTAAGTCTATTTTTAAAAAGACACAGAATGCACATATTCAGAATATACTACTGATCATATGTTGACATATTTTATTTCTATAAACACTATGAAAAATTCTGCATTACTCATATTCTAGTGCTACTATATTCAGAGTTGCAGTATGGTACACTATGATTAAAAGGACAGGCTCTGGCCCCAAGGAACCCAATTTCAAATTATGGTATGTATATTCAAACTGTGGTATGTATATATGTATACATACATATAATAAACATGCAAGAAGGAATGAAAGCTTTTGATATCCTAGTATTTTGGAGGACCAATTCTCTCTAAGGGGCTGGTCAAGAAATGGCTGCGGGAGAGACTTCAGGCTCAACCAAGGATGTGTATAAACAAGTTCTCATTGTACTTCTAAGTCACTTCATGAAAATATTAGGCCACAGCTGCTTTGGAAATAATTTGAATTTACAGCTTGTGTATGATGAAAGAATTAAATACTGAAAGAATATTCATGAAATATGTCCATATAAATTAGGCATTAAACAGATTTTTGTATAGTCAGAATTACAAAGATAAAAAAATACTGCCACACTGTTGACTCCGTGAAGTAGAAGTTAATGCTGTAAAGTCTACAGTATTTTAAGTTCTAAACTAGGAATGTTACGATGACATTACTGTGGAACTGAAAATATGTGAATTTATACTTTCATTTTTTAAAATTAATTTTTATTGGAGTATAGTTGCTTTACAGTACTGTACAGCAAAATGAATCAGCTCTACGTATACATATATCCTCTTTTTTGGATTTCCTTCCCATTTAGGTCATCACAGAGCACCGAGAAGAGTGAGTTCCCTGTGCCATACAGTAGGTTCTCATTAGTTATCTATTTTATACATAGTTTCAATAGTGTATATGTGTCAATCCCAATCTCCCAATTCCTCCGCCCCCCTCCTATTTTTCTTTGGTTGAGAGTCCACCTGCCAAAGCAAGGGACAAGGGTTCGTGCCCCGGTCCGGGAAGATCCCACATGCCGCGGAGCGGCTAAGGTCCGTGAGCCATGGCCGCTGAGCCTGCGCGTCCGGAGCCTGTGCTCCGCAACGGAGAGGCCACAACAGTGAGAGGCCCGCGTACCGCAAAAAAAAAAAAAAAAAAAGTAAAACCTCAAACAAAAACCAAGAGTAAGTAACTAAGATCTTCTCCTTTAAAAATATACTTTAACAAGTATCAGTATGTTATCTGTGAACCAAAGCACTTGGAGGGAGGGAGGGAGGGAGGAAAACTTAACCCTAAACCACTCACAAAACGTATTATTGTTGAGGGTGTGGCTGAAATGTACAAGTTAAAGAATTAAGGCAGTTTTAAATATAATTCTTATGGGGTCATACCACCTAAGAGCCAAACAAAACAACCCATTTAGTAAAAATTATGCCACAAGGCTCTTGATATGCAATTTATCTTTCAGAGTTATTTCAGGAAGAATGGCCCCAATTAGCTATCATTAAAAATAGAGAGGGGTACAGTTTGTAGGCCTATTATAACACAAATTCAGAGAAATGTGCTAGTTATCTCTGGGTGAGGACAAAGAAGGAACTGTTTTCCCAAAAGAAAGTGTCATGTGCAATCAGCACAACTGACATCACTTACTTCTGATGCAAAATGCAAGCGGCTCTCAAGCTCTTGCTCTTAGAATTGCAACATGTGAACCTCTTGTTTGTAATCAGCTTAAAGGTACACTGAGCACCTGGAGTACCTCTGGATAATATTTACGCCAATTTTTTCAAGCTATCAGTCAAAACCTGATTAGAAATCCTGGCAGATCAAGTTCAGAGCCTCCAAAATTATTGGTTCTCAGAAGCTAGAAAATGTCCAAAATCCCTTTTGATTTCTCTGGGCTCATGAAAAAAAAGTAAGTACTATAATTTAGCACTTACGTTCTTTTAAAAAGCACTTAATTTTACAAAAGACAAAACAGGCATACGTTCAAAATTTTAAAGGCACAAAAAACTTACCCGTTTTTCTGTGCAATGAGATTAAGCACTGAACTAATTTACGGACTTCAAATACTTATTCCTGTTTCATGAGATTACATTATTGTCTCAAGAGGATTACAAGCTTCCCAAGGGCAGGGATCAAGATCAGTGTTCTCTATCACTCACACCTAGCCTAGTGAGGACTATGTGCTTAATATTAATAAATATTGGTTGAATCTGCCGCCAGATTAGAAGCCTAAGCTAAGGTTTTACAGTTGAATTGCAGAATCTTTATACTGGGCTTTTAAAGAGCTCATGTGAAAATAATCTGAGGCACTAAATTATGATTAAAAAAGTGAAAGCTTGGCTAAATAAGCAACATGAAACCCTGTCAATCCCAAACAATAAATGCACTTAACTTTCGAATCTCTGCTAACTAAGCAACTACATATTTGATTATTATGGGAGGTTTTGACTTTTACATGTTAAATTGTGTTTTGATGTTCCAAGGCAAACAAACAAACAAACCCACAGTATTTTAAATGATATTAAGGTAAGCAACGTACTCTCCACATTTCCTTCACAACATGTCAAAGAAAACAGAAAGGGAAAAAATGATAAAACTTAAGTTTAAGATGAAGCTGAAATGCTTTAGGACTAATTACATCACAAGGAACAAAACAAGGAGGATTTTATCCAGTTCTTTAATTCTAACACTATGAAAAGATTTTACCTGAGACTTTGAACTGTGCTATTCCGGTTAGCCCTGAATTTACTTTAATTCTCCCAACATCAATTTTTAAAAATCTTTATTTACATTTATACCTCAAGAGTCTAGCAGAGAGCAATAAGAAAAATAAGTTGTGCACATGTCATTTTTCTGAGAGTTTAAAAAAATTTTTTTCCCCTCTCAGAGCTTTTTTAAGTTCAATGATATGGAATTGGAACAAATCCTCACAATTTCTTATTTCTGTTTCGGAATACTATAGTGCAGCAAACAAAGCAAGAGTTGTCATTGTTAACAAGAATAAAAAGTGTGACTCTAAACATAAAACTCTGAGAAATACCATTTCAAAACACCTCACCGAATAAAACATTTTTTTTTAAGTTACCTAAAACAGAGCATCTGGTTGCTTAATGAAAATTAAAACAGCAGGCCTTAGTGGGTACTTACCTCCACCATACATGACAGCCAACATGATGGAAGATATCCATGACACTTCACTGGTGGTGGCATTGAATATACCTTCAATTTCTTTGAAGAACACAGTAATAGATTTGGGAAATGCATAGGAGAAGCCGATGGAAATGAAAGCTCCAACTACCACTGCCCATCCCCAGCCTCCATCTGGGGGGGTGTATCCAACTGGACCTCCAACTGCCGGTGGCATTTTAAGTGTAGATAAATCCCAAAATGCAGTTCAAATCCAAATATCTAAACAATACAAAATTTAAATAAAATGTCAGAAATAAAACACTCCCACCTAACATTCCCAACAACAAAGCACCCTTTACACCTAGCCCTCAAGTAACTGAACTATTTTTCAACGTTACTTGGCCAATATACATTATCTTCTAAGGACGTTATCAGAAAAAGAGACTTTAGAGACATGATATTGTCCACATTTTTTAGTAGCTTAAAGGAAAACAGCTCCTCACCATTTAAGAAACCATAACTGAAACAAATCCTTTTCAATAAATGTAGCCTTTGTATTTCAAATAAGCCTTCTTGTCTTAGCAGTTAATATAATTCCTCAAATTACTAATAACTAAATAAGTAAATAAATGTCTTATTTGACTATCTGCTTGCAAAATTCACGTAACACATACCCTACAAAAGTTTCAGGTTTTAATACAGGCTTTATAAGTTTTTCCCTTTTCCCATGTATTCTACAATACTGACTTTCTCTTACTAATATGCTGACTTAAAAGTAATAGGAAGGAGGTACCTGACTCACTAGATATGTAGCAATTTGCAAAATAAAAGATCATTCTGAACACATAAGAATTTCATTTAATGACCTGGAAAATTATTTCAGAAAAGCTTCCTTTAATCTAACTTCCTTGGTTAAACTCCTAAACAACACAACTAATCAATACAGTTGAACTCACAAGTTGAACTATAATGTCAAAAGATGGTAGTTTCAAATCAAAGATTATCCCGTTTTCTTGAAGCCACCTAGTACTAATGAATAGCAAGGTTAGAAAATGAAACTTCCTGTTAGATTATGAATAGGGAGAAGATGGGAATGTTTGTTTGATAGTAGGCTTACCTATTTTCTCATGAAGGTCAGGTCTCCTTTAATTTATTTAAAGCCAACTTCCACCCTATACTATAACTCATCCTACAACAGTATGTTAGCATATCCATTTCAAATTATCTCCACTCAGACTGTATTATACAATAAATAAATACAGGTCACAGATGACAAACTCACTCTTGGCTACAGCATTCTTTAGTCTAAAACACAAATCCTAATTTCATAGTGTAGGAGTCATCTCCTAAATACTGTTCCTTCCAATCCATCTGAACACTTCAAATATGATTTAAGACAATGGACATTGTAGGGGTGGGAAGAAGACAGTGCCAAAGGGAAGTTTCCCTAAAGGCAAGGATATAGGTTTCATCATTTCTACTCAACATTGTACTAAAGGTTCTAGTCAGTTTGTGCAGGCAAGAAAAAGAAATAAAAGGTATAAAGACTAGAAAGGAAGAAGTAAAGCTGTCTTCATTCACAGAAGACATAATTGTCTATGTAGGTAATTCTAAAGAATATACAAAAAAAGGTACTAGAACTAAAAATGAACTAGATCTCAGGACACAAGACCAATAAATAGAAATCAACTCTATAAGCCAGCAAAGAACAATCAGAATTTGAAATTAAAAACTGAACAAAACATTTACAACAGGACCAAAAAATTGAACAGGGATAAATCTGATGTGTACGATGTGTACACTGACAACTACAAAATATTATTGAGAAATTAAACAACTAAATAGATAACCCACCCCTATGATTTGAAAAAATCAAAATTTAGGCAAAGATTTCTGAAGGCACATGGCACCATGTTAATTAAAAAGTTTCTAAATTGGGGTTTCCCTGGTGGCACAGTGGTTAAGAATCCACTTGCCAATGTAGGGGACACGGGCTAGAGCCCTGGTCCTGGAAGATCCCGCATGCTGCAGAGCAACTAAGCCCGTGCGCCACAACCACTGAGCCTGTGCTCTAGAGCGTGTGCACCACAACTACTGAAGCCCACGTGCCTAGAGCCCGTGCTCTGCAACAAGAGAAGCCACCGCAATGAGAAGCCCACGCACTGCAATGAAGAGTAGCCCCCGCTCGCTGCCAACTAGAGAAAGCCTGCGTGCAGCAACGAAGACCCAACACAGCCACACACACACACAAAGTATAATAAATTGAATTTCATAAATTGAATTTCAAGCTACAGATTGGGAGAAAATATATACAAATCATATATCCAAGAAAAGACATGTCCAGAATATGAAAAGAACTTTTATGGCTTAATAGCAAAAAGACAAACAACACAATTAAAAAATGTGCAAAAGATTTGAAAAGATACTTTACCTAAGAAGTACATGAAAAAATGCTAAAAATTGTTATTCGTTTGTGAAATATAAATTAAAATCCTAATAGAGATACTAATATATCTCTATTAGAATGACCAAATTTCAGACTGATAATACCAACACTTGGTAAGGATATGAAGCAAACGGAACTCCTGTATTGCTGGTGGTAAATCAAAATGATACAGCCAAGTTGGAAAACATTTTGGTAGCTCCTTATGAAGTTAAATATACATTTAACATGTGACCCGGTCATTTCTAGGTATTATCCAAGAGAAAAGAAAATATAGATCTTCACAAAGACGTATATAAGAATTCTCTAGTAGCTTTATTCATAATGGCGCAAACTGAAAACCCAAATGTCCATAAACAAATGGATAAACAAATCATGGTATAGCCATACAATGGAACATTACTCAGCAATAAAAAGGAACCAACTACCAACACATGAAAGAACATGGATAAATCACAAATGCATTATGTTAAGTGGAAAAAAGCTAGACATGAGCCTACATTAAGTTTTAGTAAAGGCAAAATTATAGTACTAGAAAACAGATTGGAGGTTGGGGAGAGGAGGCTGACTGCAAAGGGGTTTCAAGAGAACTTGATTTTGGTCATGGAAATGCTGTATTATTAATGGTTGTGGCAGTAATTATTCATCAAATTATACATCTTAAATTGGCACATTTTATTGTATGTGAATCATACCTCAATACAGCTGATCAAAACAAAAAATATAATCAAGGACAGTGGCAAGGAGGATGAACTCTGGTGGCACAGGGAGATAATACAGAAGGAAAAGAAGATGGCAGGCAAATTCCTCTGTCTTGCCTATCTGGATGGTTAAAAGAAAGAATAGGAAAAGGAAGAGGACAAAGAAGAGGAGAGAAGACTCTCTTCTGAGAATTCACAACTACAGGCCTGTGTGAGCTTATGCTTGGCATGGGAACATCTGTGGGAAACCTCCACTGTTCTTCCAGAGATATGTTTGTTTGATTTTGCTAGCAAAGATTTCCCACAGACAAAGCTCTGCCAAGTTTAAGCTGACAATCTAAATTTTCAAAACACACCAAGAATCAATTAATCATGAGTGAAGTAAAACCAATCCAACACAGCCAGAACATTGGATATGGATACTTAAAATGATTAAAAGCATGAAATAAGGCATTAAATGAAAACACACACACACACACACACACACACAAAATACTATAAAAAGACTAGTTAATTTGAAACAGAACTTCTAGAAATGAAAAGTATATTCAACAAAATTAATAGGTTAACCAGCAGACTGAACAGAGCTGGGAAGAAACACAATGAACTGGAGGATAGGTTTGAAGAAAATAAAATTCAGGGAGACCTTTATTCTGAAGCTAGGAGAAAGGTTTAGAAACATGGAGTTTAGAATGGGAGGATCTGGCAAACATCTAATGGGACTTTGGAAGAAGAGAACAAAGAAAGTAGGTTAGAGACAATTTTCAAGAGTTAATGGCTAAGTATGTTTCAGACTTGATGAATAATATGAACTACAGTTTAAGGAAATCTAACAAGCCAGAGAAAAATCTTAAAAAAACACTATTGAGAAAACACAGATTCTAAAACTAACAGATAATCACACCGACAAAACAGAATTCCCATCAATTTTGAAAAACTCTCAGCCACCATATACTCAAATATTGATTCTTCACCATTCCCTCTTTCCACTCCTCTGAGACTCCAACTGGATGTGGGTTGTCCAGATGGAATAAGGTCCTACCTTTTCCAACATTTCTGCTTAACCCGTCATGAGACTCTTTCTCTCTGGGACTATGTATTCTGGAATGTTCCCTCCTTTGGGGGCCCCAGAGATTTTTACAGCCTGTGGCAGTGAATCACAGTAAGAACTGGGATAAATGAGAGCTATACTTCCCTTGTGCAGTGGATCTAAGGGCTTTTGGATAAAGCAAATTAGAAAAGGAGAAGCAGAAGACCTCAGGCCTCTATTCTCAGGAGAGACGATTTTTAGTTATGGGTATCTGAATCTGAGAATCTGGAGAATAATTCCATTAAAAATATAACCCAGTTGAAAGAGTAAAGACCTCGTCCTAGGGCATTTCACTTACCTATGATTCAGGTGGGACAAAAATATTTACATGTTGAAGCTCCCTTAAATTTCTACTGGAACGAATATAAATAAAAGCTATTTAACAGCTCAGTTCTGCTGAAGGAAACAGTCTGGATGCTAAAATTATGTTAAACAGAACAGCTCCGGGCATTAATTTTGAGTTTTTCCTTCATCTAATTATGAAAAAAGAGAAAAGCACTTGAAAATTTTCAATCAAAGAACCACTAAAAAGATTACTTTGCCTCAGAATGTTTGCACACATGGAGAGAGACACCCACACACAGACGGTAGAGCTGCTTAACACATCAAGCTCTGACTCCAACGGCTAATACGTGCTGGACGTGATTAAACTTTGAGCTTCGCTGCCTGATTTGTCCCAGTTAGTTACAGCAGTTACAATTTTTAGTCTCTAAGACATGCCTCATCAAGTTAATAATACCTTATTCCATAGCATAAAACTTAAGATTTAAAACTTCAAGAAGCTTTAAAAACATTCATTAGGACATAAAAAGTATAAGAAACAAGAGTATCCAAATTTCAAAAGAACACTTCAAAAAACCAGACGTGGATTCAACACAGTTCTGCCACCATCCAACAAATGGCTGTCCTTCCTAACTTAAAAATTCTGATGGTACCTAACAGAAAGTGTGTAATATCATTATCTAAACACACTATTTTCTTTTAAACTGACCAAATCTCAGCTATAAACAAAAGGGTTCATTCAGAAAGTAAATTATGTGAGCAG